CACTGACTTTATCAGACCCCAAAGCTACAACTCTTGTTTCATAGTTCCTGCTTTACCTTGGTCTTAACCATCCAGAAGGAAAGTATAAAAACGAAATATAAGAAATAAAGCCATGCTGTTATGTTGAGCTGTGGCGGACTCTGGACAACAATTTCTAATATTGCCAGTTAAGCAGAAGACCCAATAAATACTATTATGGGATACTGGACTCTTTTAGAATATTTTGCTGAGTTTACACACCTATAATATTCAAATAACGGAACTTAACAAAAAAAGTATATACATATGTATATCCATTTTGTATCTGTGTATTCAATGTGGTTGGGATAGATATAGAGTTACATTCTGTTAATGAATAGAATGATTTGTTCTAAAGGTGTTTGTAAATAGGATATCAAGTCCGCATCTTGTACAGCAATTAAGCACTAAGAAGAATGTATGCCTTGTGTTTATTATTGAAACTGTTCTACCTATTTGATTTGAAACTGTCTCATTGCTATTTGTTTATCCATAAAATTATGGCAAAAATAATTACTTTCTGTTTTAATTGTAATTTGTATACTCTTTAAAAATAAAAAGTAAACAGAATAAATAAATGCAAATAAACCCTATTGGTGAAAACATGAGGCCAAGTATTAGCCTACTCATAATTTGATGTTAAGGCATTTCAATTCATGCGAGTTTTACACAAAAGAGTATATGCTTTTGTGGAAATACTGTGAGGAATTGTGTTCTCAGTACACCTTTAGGCTTTGGAAATCCGAGGTACTTAGTTAAGACAGATTCTTTGTGTCAAACGTTAGTAGAACTGTACTTCAGAGGTAGAATTAAGTGTTAGGTGTTAGGAGACAGAAGAGTTGTTGCAGAAAATGTAATGAAGACTTATTCACGTGACATCCTGGCATCTTGGGAAGAATTAATTGGTATGAAAAAAATTTCAGTGTGTAACAACTTCCCATAGGGGAATGATTACTTAGCATTGAAATAACAAATTTGGAATGAACCTCGTGAGAAGATAGACAAAGGTGTAAATATATCCTTAGTCCTGTTCAGACCATAAAAGCTTTGTCTGGAAGGGACTTGGTCATTCAGTTTGGAGTCTTGCATCTGGTTTTTTGACTCATATTGGAAACACTTCCTGATGTGTTCTCCACCAATAAAGTTCTAGTCTCCATCATGGACCATTCAGGAGGGATTCTGGACTTCTACACTTGGTGCTTACAATTGGAAAACCCATCCAGGTCACTCCTAGTGTTCATAAGGTACTGCACAGATGGATAACAAAAGCTAAGTGCATGTTTCTAGGATGATACAAGAGTCAAGTTAGCCAAGTCCAAAAATGAATGATTTCTGGGGCTTTTTGCATCTTTGATTAAATTATTTATATATTTATTCAAAAACTTTTGACAAAAGAGGATGTTGAGCTCAGTAAGGGTCATTGTCCAAGTTTAAGTAATGATAATAGAAGCTCAATAAGAAATAAACTGTAAGGTGTAAGGTGATTTCAACAGAAGTAGAAAACATGTCCAAAGAACTCATATAAAAAAGGGAAATAATGCATTATGTATGGCAGGGAATATTGTGAAATGAAGACTTTTTTGTTGTTTCTGAGCCGTAACAATATTTTTATTACTATATTGATATCACATGCCAATTTAATAGACTTATTAGCATTTCAGTGGGAATTTCACATTTTTTCTTTCTGTATTAGTTATTGGAGTTGTAATTTAATCATACTATGTTAATTTTCATTTAGTAAATCTTGTGCATCTTCTTAGTTTTGCCTTTCTCTGCTTATTTAAAGATTTTGCCTAAGCATGAACTTCCCCTGAGGTGGTCCCAATTTTCCTCTGAAATATCTGAACATGTTTATTTTCAAAGTACTTAATTCCTATGTTAATTAATATCATATTGTCAGCTAAGGGACCAACTTCATTTTCCTTTATATACATAGTCATTTATGTTAACTTTAATTTAATTATCCTAGGCTTTCAAACTAAATTTAAATGCAACCTTGCCATATGTTAAATGCCTGTATACACTTAGGTATAATTCCTAATTCATTCAACAATGGTGACTAATGTCTGCTATTGGTTAATTTAACGAATATTTTATTATATTATTTTGTGTCTAAATTATGCCAATTTAATTATTAATCCCATTTTAAAAGCATTAAATTTCTGCTATTATGCATCTTTTGTTTAATGGTTGATGTTCTATCCCATGTTCTTTATTGGACTTGTTTTGAAACCACTCAATTTAACTTGATTGTATACGTCTCCATGTTTCTCAACATACAACTTATCCTTTATTAAATTCTATGCTAAATGACTCATGCATATTTGCATGGTGCTGTGTGAAAATAAATGTTGAAAACAGCAGGTGAAATTTCTGCCTATTCGGATCTTATAATATCAAGACACGGCACAATATAGTAAACGTGAGTGATGTGATTCCTTTTAGAATCCACCATACAAAATATTTTATTCCATGTAAATGTTAGAATTTTAATGTTCTGTGAATGATTTCATAGAATATAATCTGGGAAGGACTATGCATGTTAGATCAAAATGGCAATCAGGATTATATTGTGTCTATTACATTTGGCTAAAGACTTCAGAACTGAAAATGCAGGGGAAACAGGAAAGATACTACATAAAAATACAATCCAGGCCTGGCAACATATATCTGTCAACCTAGCATTCTTGGAGCATGTGGCAGAAAGAGCTCAAGTTCCAGCCCAAATTGGGAAAATTGGGCACTTAGTGATAATATGTATCTAAAGAAAGGGTGGGTGGGCAAGGTATGAAACAAAAGGGGAAGACCTTGGTTTCAATCCCCAGTAAAAGAAGGGAAAAAAGAAAAGAATTGCCTAATCTGCTTTTGAATCATAGAAAAACACAGTTATTTTATTTTTTATGCATCAATTTCATACAGCATATACTAGCTGGCTTTTACTCTGAAATCTAGAACAGTTGCTCTCACAAAAGTACAGAGTAGAAGAGTGATTACCAGAGGTGACATAGGTGCAGGGGACAAAGAATGGAAGGAGGTTGATCAGTGGGTGCAAAGTTGCATTAGAAAAGAGGAATATATTTTATTATTCTGTAGGGTAGAGTGACTATGTTTAATCATCATATATCATATATATCAAAACAACTAAGAAGATTTTGACTATTCTTAACATGATTAATGTAAAGGTTGAAGATACTAGGTATTCTAAATACTTTGATTACATGAAGTATATAAGAAGTGAACATTTGCATAATATAACAGTATAGACAAATAATTCTCATGACAAATTTTCAAAAAACGTTGAATCATTATTAATTGGCACAGAAAAAGCTATTATTTTTAAAAGCCTAATTTTGTTGTGCTGTGTATAAATACTTTTAAAATTTTACTTCATAATTAGTTTGCATTTTTTTTTTTTTGCTTTGCAGATGTTCCGTCTGTGTCTAGGCATAAAAATACACCATTAACTTTGTTTATGAAGTATTTTTGTTTTCAATTGTACTATTTTTGCTAGTCCCCAAGTGGGTGTAATTAGAATTAGAATACAGGCAGAAACAGAAAGCTTCTTTTCCCCTTTCAATCTCTCAGGAGCCAGAGGAACGTATTAGACAAATTTCTCCTATGAAACCATTTAATATCTTGCTTTGTTTATTGGTCATATTTACAAGTGTTTTTGTAAATACATGGTAACATAAAAATGCCCATGCCAAAATGGAACCTTAAAGTTCTATGTGTGTAGGAGAGTTACAAACTGGGATTTCTGGGTGCTGATCACATTTCTTTAATAAAAAAATTTGTGTGAGACAGCTTGTAACCATTCATTTCAAGTTGTAAGACTGGGAATGAGGAAAAATATGATGTTAACACAGCCCCTGAACTTTCATACCATGAAACATTTTACAGCGTGTGTATTTGTCTATGTGCACATGTGAACACACTTGCCTTTTGGGATAGAGAAAGTTTTTACAGAAAGTGAACCTGACTCAATATGTTCCAAAATGTAAATCACAGTGCATAACCCAAACCATATAGAATCATATAGACCTAAACATGAGTACATTTCAAATCACATAACACTTTGCAGCCAACTTAATAAAGGCAGGTGTAATAACGTCTGGTTAAAGAGATCCTGTGCCTTGAAACTTTAGTGACAAGGATGGCATTTTGTCCTTCATTATCCTCTAATATTATCTTACATTGCTCTCTGTCTCACCCATTTTCCCTGTCCCACTGATCCTTTCTTTAACTCAAACATCTAAAAAGACCATCACTACTGAGGCACTTATACTGGCTGTGTCTCTGGTGAGAAATTCACTTCAGAAAAATTTGTGATTTTTCTCCCTGCCTTCTTCAATGTCTCTTTTCAAGTGTCTCCTCCTGCTAGTCTTTCCTAAATAATCACTAAAGTAACTCCTCCACTCTATTTTCTTCTCCAACTTTGTTTTCTTTCACAATAACTTATTATCTGATAGATTATATGATCATTTCTTTACCTTCTACTTGCTTTCATTTGTTTGTATTGTCACTTCCTCGATGGAACTTAGAAACATTTAGGTTGTTTGGTTTTATTTTAGCACTGATCAATCATTGCCTAGACAGTGTCTAGAACGTGATTATCACTTATATTCCTCAGTTGCATGAAAAAGATTCCAATTATTGAATATGATTCCTCTTTGAGATTTGCTTAAAATAGAACAGGTATTCAAAATCAGTACATTGAATAACTAGTAAAAAGACAACAATATGCAATATATTAACTATTGTAACTATTTTACTAACTGGTTTTGAAACAGTTTCATTGCTATTTCTTTCTCATAATTAATAAAAATTAAAAAAAAAAAACCAGCAGTGACAAGGGTTATCCACTAAATGGAAACAGATTCATATATAAAACAGAAGCCAGGAAGTTCACTGTAGAATATAAAAGGTACCTTTTCTTTAATGTTAGTAATGCCTAATTGACTGTGGATTTTTTTCTTTTTTAGTCAAATGGAGCCAGAAAATAACACAAAAATTTCAGAATTTCTCCTTTTGGGAATTTCAGAGGTCCCCAGCTTGCAACTTTTCCTTTTTGGAGTTTTCCTGTTTTTGTATCTGGTCACTGTGTTTGGGAACCTACTTATCATCCTGGCCACGATCTTCGATTCCCATCTGTACACACCCATGTATTTCTTCCTCTCTAACTTGTCTTTTGTTGACATCTGTTTCACCTCTACTACAATCCCAAAGATGCTGGTGAATATTCATACACACAACAAGATCATAACCTATAAAGGCTGCATCATTCAGATATACTTTTTCATACTCTTTGGAGTTTTGGACAACTTTCTCCTAACTGCTATGGCCTATGACCGCTTTGTGGCGATATGTCATCCCTTGAATTATACAGTCATCATGAATCACAAGCTCTGTGTATTGCTAGTTTTGGTGTCCTGGCTCACAAGTGCCCTGAACTCCTTGTTACAAAGCTTAATGGTGCTACGACTGTCATTCTGCACAGAACAGAAAATTCCACATTTTTTCTGTGAAATTAATCAGGTTGTCCTACTTGCCTGTTCTGACACTTTTTCTAATGATATGGTAATGTATTTTGCAGCAGGCCTGCTTTTCTGTGCACCTCTTGCTGGTATCCTTTATTCTTACTACAAGATAGTTTCCAGCATATGTGCAATCTCATCAGCTCAGGGGAAGTACAAATCATTTTCCACCTGTGCATCTCACTTATCTGTTGTCTGCTTATTTTATTGTACATGCCTAGGGGTGTACTTCAGTTCATCTGCTATACACAACTCACACTCCAGTGCAACAGCCTCGGTGATGTACAGTGTAGTCACACCAATGCTAAACCCCTTCATCTACAGTCTAAGGAATAAGGACCTAAAGGAGGCTCTAGGAAAGCTATTCAAAAAGTAAAAAAAGAGCCATTTTAAGAATTTCTTGGGGCTGGGGAGATGGCTCAGTAGAATAAGCACTTCCCTGGCAAGCCCAAGGGCCTGAGTTCAATCCCCGGTTCCAAAAAAAAAAAAAAGAATTTCTTAGTGTCGGAGAGATAGCTCAGTAGAATAGGCACTTCCCTGGCAAGCACAGGGTCCTGAGTTCAATCCCTGTTACTGAAAAAAATTCCGGTGGCCCTAGTACTCTAAGCATCAGCTCCATTCACTGTGATTCTTTTATCAAATCATTTAATGTAATTCTTTTTTTTTTTCTTGCAGAACCGGGGATTGAACTCAGGCCCTTGCGCTTGCCAGGGAATCGCTTATTCCACTGAGCCATCTCCCCAGCCCTATTTTTCTCATTTATGTTTTGGAGTCTCAATTTATATAAATTGGTTGATTTAAAGAAACTCAACAATCTTATTTTTAAGCTTTTCACTCTCTCATATCTAGTTTTGTTTCCATTTCTCATTTTCAAATTTTCCATTGGTTTTATGAACCTTGAACCAACCTTGAACTTTGGAAATTCCCTTTAGCCACACATAGCAGCAAACCTCTGCCTTTGTACATAAACTTTAGAACCAGTTTTTTTTTAGCCCATGTTGAGCATCACTAGTCTGAAAATCCCAAGTACTCCAAAATTTTAGTGTCTAAGTGTTTAATAGTACATCAGGTAGAAAAAGTCACACAATGAAATTGTACTTCCTTCAGAAACTTATAGAATTTTTGTATAAAATGACCTCCAGGCCATTAGTATATTAAAATAACATCATGTGTGGTGGAACATATGTATAACTACAATAGTAGGTTGATCCAGGAGGATTGCTGCATGTTTGAAGCCTTCCTGTACTACATAATGAAATCAAGATCAGTCTGAATTATGTATCATGATCCTATCTAAAAGAGAGAGAGAGAAAGAGAGGGAGGAAGGGAAGAAGGGAGAGAGAGACAAAGAGAGACGGGAGAGAGAGAGAGAGAGAGAGAGAGAGAGAGAGAGAGCGTGCACGCCATCATTTGGTATGGATTACTTCT